TTTAGTTGGACGATCATTTATTTTTCAACAGGACAATGACCCCAAACACACCTCCAGGCTGTGTAAGGGCTATTTGACCAAGAAGGAGAGTGATGGAGTGCTGCGGCAGATGACCTGGCCTCCACAGTCACCGGACCTGAACCCAATCGAGATGGTTTGGGGTGAGCTGGACCGCAGAGTGAAGGCAAAGGGGCCAACAAGTGACTAATTAACCCTGATAAGGCACACCTGTGAAGTGGAAACCATGTCAGGTGACTACCTCTTGAAGCTCATGGAGAGAATGCCAAGAGTGTGCAAAGCAATAATCAGAGCAAAGGGTGGCTATTTTGAAGAAACTAGAATATAAAACATGTTTTCAGTTATTTCACCTTTTTTTGTTAAGTGCATAACTCCACATGTGTTCATTCATAGTTTTGATGCCTTCAGTGAGAATCTACAATGTAAATAGTCATGAAAATAAAGAAAACGCAATGAATGAGAAGGTGTGTCCAAACTTTTGGTCTGTACTGTACACACCTGTCTTAACTCATAGGCTGTGAGAAAAATGGCAAAGCTTGTAGAGAGTAATGACAAATCACAAGTTTATTTATGAATATAATTACATTTGCTCATGATTACTTTGGATGGCCGTGCCTGGTTGCCTGTCGTAGCATAGCTATTTGTTAAAGTTTGCAATATATTGGAGGGGCATTTTGAGCATAACTGAATATTACCCCCCAATATTTATTACAATTACTGCCTTGCTTCACAGTATCCCGTCTGCCTCCAGCTGGCTACCTGAGGCTGGTGCTGTGTGCACACTGAAATCACGATGGGAAAAAGAAAGTCAACAGCTGGCATTTTTTCGCTTTAACAAGTCTCATGTAAATTAATACAACACTGTATTGCTTTCCAAGTCAAAAATCACTCTCCAGATTGTTTAAAAAAACTGCAGCGAGGATCTTAACTGGCACCAAACATGGAGACCCAGCGACCTAGACTCTGGCATCTCTCCACTGGCTGCCAGTCAAATGATTTTAAGGCTTTACTGATCACGTTTAAAGTTCAGTGGGGGTCTGGCCCTGAGCTACAACGCTGACCTTTTAGTTGCCTATGAGCCCGAGTGCACGTTGAGATCCTCAGACAGGGCACTCCTGACTGCTCTCCAGTCTTGTCTCAAATCAAGGGGCAACCAAGCACTTTCTGTCAGCGCTCCTCAACAGCCAAGTGCCCTGCTGCAGAAACACAAGCCCACTGAGTAAATGGTTCTTTTTATAAAGCAGTAAAAACTGTTAAGGGAACATGAAGTGTATAGCACAGGGCACACACTGACGGCATCACTCCTGTCTTTCTATTCTCTTTTTCAGAACAAGAGCTTGAAAACTAAACTACTCTCGGGACACAAACTTTGTGACGCCTATGCTGAGGAGGTAAGGATTTTCAATTAGTACGGCCTGCTTTATCACATACATAATTAATTCTCAGCTGCAGCTACTTAATTGTTCATTGTTCATGGAATAGGTGCAAGTCATGATAAGATATGGCGGACAGAATTTTGGTTCTCTTGTGAGCAAGCAATGTTAACAAAATGCAAATTAAAACATCTAACCGGGAACATTTTGTCTTGTTCCTTAAAATTAAAACAAGTATTTACTATCATTTGGATCATTAATTTAACTGTGGTTAGGAAACTCTTGGTTGTACTTGCACATGGTGAAAGACTCACAGAAAGACCCACCAAAGGGTAAAAATAGTCTGTTCCTGTTCTCTCACTCCCTCTGTCACACACACACACATACACACACACAGAAACTTGCTTAGTTTTGGCTGTCCAGTGAATCTCAGAACAACTTGTCTCTAACAGCAAGCTCTTTGAAGGCGGTACAGAGCAATCTGAGGGACTCAGGTTGTAGTGAGAGCAGCTTCAAGTACATTTCAGCTGTGTCATTTTTTCGCTGTCACCTGCTTTTCCTCTTTTTCTACTTGGGCTCTGCTGCCAGTTGTTACGGTCAGCAGCGTCCACCAGGTTCACATCCTTAGAGAAGCCTTGAGCTGAGCTTTGAACTGCTGCTTTTGCCTTCCTGCTGACCAGTGCTCATGCTGTAATTTAGCCATGCAGGATCTTACAAGGCAGCGGCTCCTGCAGGCGTCCTGATGACATGCCCAAGTGAGTGCAGCTGCTGCTGTGTAATCGTGGGCTCAATAGTTATGCAGTTGTGCAGTCGGTGATTCCAAGCATTTGCTGTATCCAGGATACAGTTTGTGGAATGCGGAAGATTTTTACAACATAGCGTCTAGTGGTGATGCAGACAGGTTGATAGATGGCCACCTTGTTGTGCAGATTGATTTTTCCTAAGACAGACCCAGGGATAGACCTCCCCTGAGGCAGCTGAGGCTCGTTTTGTCAATGCCACAGAAAATATTACCAAGGTTTTTGAATGACAGAACGATTGTTGGTTTGCATGTACAGGGGAAGTCAATGTGCCTCATTTACAAATGTATGTGTGGAAACATAAAATAAGTGCACATGCAAAATGACCGTCGCATTCTTGACACGTGATATTGTTCTTACGAACCTGCATTTGTTGGTGAATCAAAATCATTATAAATTGACAGTCGCATGCTCGCTATCTGCCATCAGCATACTGCCACACCCCCATTTCCCTATATAAAGACATATGTTTGCCTAGAGGTGTGTCATGGAGCAAGCAGTGGATTTGTCTCTACGCTTATATTAAGACCCTGACACACTAGTATTGGGCCGTCAGTGAGCGTCCATGAATGTGAAGGCAGTGAGAAACCGCTGATGAGCTGTTCATCACTCCCTTCAAACATGCTCAAACATGGCAGCCTCTTATGTGCTCTCTCCTGAAAGCACGGACTGCAATGTCTTCCAGCAAGGTTAGATATGTCACATTGATAGCTGCTTGGAGGCAGATCAGGATATTTATGTATCCTGCATGCCTTTTATTAGGCTACCAATCAACCAGTTGGCTACAAGTGAACATATGTGCAATATGTACAAGATAAAAACTGGAATACTCTGTTTTCATTGCTGAATTTTTTCATTAATAATTGATGAAAGGGTGTCAGTTCCATAGTTATTTAATTTGTTTGACCAATGTAGTGATAAATTAACAGTTTTAAATATTGTCCATTAAAACCTTTTTGAATAATTACAGTTTTAATCTGCAATGCATTTAGTTAAAAGGTGTTACATTTTCTATGACAGCATTTGTCGGTATGTATGGTCCGAGGTAGTGTTCACAGAGTATGGACATAGTCAGGTAAGAAAATATTGATGAATCAAATATTTCTATTAAAACATTTGTATGCACAGTTTTAGGTTTGGGTTATAATTAAAAGATTCCTTCCAGAAAGGTCTTTCTGGAAGAAAACCCTGAACGTTAATTTATCCCATGTGCTGTTTCATGTGTGCTAGTGAGTCAATCTAAAGTAAACTTTACTGCATTTAACCAGTTACAATTATTTACAGTTATTTAGGCGTTATTTTTTTTGTTTTACGGCCAAAAGCCAGAAAAGAAAAGGGTGACAGGTTCTTTTTTAACGGATTGTCTTAAATGGGCATATTGTATTGTCTCATGTTGATCGCAGGCCCCCGAATTCAGTTGATCAAAATCGTATCGTGGCAGACTGTAATCGCAACAAATATCGTATTGTTGTCCATAGAATCAATATAATAACTGTCATGATGAAACTAGTGACTTACATCCGTACAAACTACTTAATTTACCTGCCCCCTGACTCTTTATCACACACATCTTACTTGCGTACCTATAACATGGTCCTGTGAATATCAATCAATCAATCAATCAATCAATCAATTTTATTTATAAAGCCCAATATCACAAATCACACAAATACAGCATACGACATCCCTCTGTCCTTATGACCCTCGCAGCGGATAAGGAAAAACTCCCCAAAAAAACCCTTTAACGGGGAAAAAAAAAATGGTAGAAACCTCAGGAAGAGCAACTGAGGAGGGATCCCTCCTCCAGGACGGACAGACGTGCAATAGATGTTGTACAGAACAGATCAACATAATAAATTAACAGTAATCCGCATAACACAATGAGACAGAGAGAGAGAGAGAGAGAGAGAGAGAGAGAGAGAGAGAGAGAGAGAAGGAGAGAGGGTGAGAAGGTGCCCGGTGTATTATAGGGGGGTCCTCTGGCAGACTAGGCCTAAGTCAGCCTAACTAGGGGCTGGTACAGGGCAAGCCTGAGCCAGCCCTAACTATAAGCTTTATCAAAGAGGAAAGTCTTAAGTCTAGTCTTAAATGTGGAGACGGTGTCTGCCTCCCGGACCGTAACAGGAAGATGATTCCACAGGAGAGGAGCCTGATAGCTGAAGGCTCTGGCTCCTGATCTACTTTTGGAGACTTTAGGGACCACGAGTAACCCTGCGTTCTCAGAGCGCAGTGTTCTGGTGGGATAATATGGCACTATGAGCTCTCTAAGATATAAGGTTAGCCTTTCTTTCACTAACCTTCAGTTCTCAGTGTACTTTCCCATTGACTGTTTCTTTTATACTCTTTTTGAAAACCTGAAACATCACACTGTCAATATTTCCTGTCCAATTTGAGCACCTCTTAATTAAAAACCAAGTCTTGTTTGCCAACTGAGTGGATTTTCCCACAGAGCATAGTGAACAGATTCAGTTTATTGGGTACACACAGCAGAAATTAATACAGTCTAATACAACAGTCCTGCAATAAATCCTCACTTCATGAAGGTTATAATGTTCAGCTTTTGGTGAAACTGTTTTGCTGTTGAAACTGCATCACTTTTAGCTCAGGGTACCTAATTAACTTGTAACTGAGTGAAATTAGTCAAACAAATGCCAGCGTAACACAGATTTACTTAAAAAGGTACAGTGACCAGATGTCCTGGTTTGTAGGGGATTGTCCCAGTTTTGAATTGGGCTTCCTGAGTCCCTACTAATATCTGTAAAACCCCAAAAAGAGTTAAAATAATATATACTTGTTTTGGTGCTTACATAGATGTTGATCATGTTCAATTCCACTCTTAATTACCAAAGGCGAAATAAAAACATAAACAGTGCACACTGCGTCTGAAATCAATACTCATTTGTCTGTATATGTGTCGATCAATCAACGTGTCCTTGTCAAGGCTGTTGCTATGACACTTGTGGCTCTTTCTCACACAATCTGTCAGTATGCTAACAGTTAGATGTCACGCCAAAGAGACAGTCAGTCTTTTCCACAGACCTCCTGGAGGCTTACTCCTTCCTTTGTAAAGTATCCTGCAATGAGAGTGCTGCATTCTGCACACACTGCAGGGGTTGGCTACAGTTTTGGTCGTGCGCTGTGGAAATGCCAATATTAAAGACCCTTTTAAGATGGCCAAATATAAGTGGTGGCAACAAGCGAGGCAAACCCTGGTGACAGCCATCTGAGACAGGCAGCTCAGAAGGGGAATTCTGTGTAGTGAAGCACAAGCAGAGCTTTGGATCTGTGGACTGTATAGCTGCTGTTGTGTGTTACAGTGTTATTTGACAATTTCCAACTAAACTATGTTTTGGTGGATTTTGGGAGACAAAAATATATTTTTTGTCTAATGAGGCGTCGTCCATGGTGTTGAAAGATGTGCTCAGTAGGTGTGTTAAGCACTGAAATAATTGCCCCCCCATCTTAATGAAAATATCTGTGGTGTACACATACATGTGTGAGTCCATGAGCATGCAGTACATTTAGAGAAGCATTTCTCTGCAGGGTCTTTTCATAAAATTGAGCTGTCTATGTAGTAAAAAGATGCAAATACTTATTAAATTTGTGCTACATGACCAGAAAAAAAAACAGAAAAAAGGGGCTGTGGCGTTGGCTTTTGCTAAAGATGTAGAAATACTATAACTGCCAGAATGTACTGCACTGCACTGGATCAATAAACGCTCCAACTGCTGGGTGACGTAAATTTAGCTTGTCGGTTTTGACACGGGAAACAATATGGCAACTGGCTGGTAACAAAGAATCTCGAATTACAGTTAACAGTGTGCAAGAATATGTTTCTAAGAACATTTGAGGCAAGAAAAAGGCAACGCAGTAACAGGATCTTGGTTCATATTTGATCAACACTGCTGAGTTTTACCACTTGATCTCAGTTCTTTCAGCCTCTGTTTTTACAATACAGGAAACAGTATGGCATGCACTCCCATTCACATGTTCTCATATTACAGCCAAACATGGTACTATAATATGTTTCTGAAAACATTTTAGGCTACGAATAGGCAATACAGTAAGATAATTTGGTTTATATTTGATTAGCACTGTCTAGTTTTACTATTTGGTCTGAGTTTGAGGGAAGAGAGGTATCTCTTTCGATCCGCTTCCATACACTTTGTGTTCGTGGTGGCAGGCAATATGAAAATGAGGAAGTACAATTTGTAGTTT